CCTGCCCCCGGGGCAGAGGGGCTCCAGCCTTCAGAGCATCTCTGTGGCCCCCCCTGGACGCCCTCCAACAGTCTCATTAAGCCCCCAGTGAGAAATCCCAGCCACCTCCTTGTGCAGCACTGCAGGAATTTGAGCCCAGCAGAGACCATCCTGAGGTTCCGGCCGAGACACTCACCATGGCACCAGCTTGCCATATTTTCTCCTTGGACTCTTGCTGACCAGGAAGCCAAGAGCAGGGTCAGTGACCGCATCCCAGGCTCTTCCCAGGAAAATGATCAAAGAGGCATGGAATGGCTCCAGCTGGGGGAGGGTGGGAAGGGAACCACAGCTCGAAAGGGAAGTCCTGGCAAAAAGCTGCACGCAGTCAGCACAATGCCGCTTGCCCAGCGTCTCATCTGCATCCCCCCGAGACCACTCCAAGCCTTGAACTGGCCCAGCAGCATCCCCTGCGCGCCCGGCAGCGTTTACATCACACGATTTTGGTCCGGTTTGAATCCCTAAGTCTGACAAGCATTTCCAAGGGGTTTGCCTACCCATCAGACTCTACCCCCGCCCCAGTCTGCTGAGCTTACTCCAAGTGCCTCTGCCAATGACCCCATCTCATGCCGCCGCTCACCTGCACGACATCCAACAGGAAGATTTGGAGGAAAAATCCAAGGGCGTTGCCTGTCATCTGGTAGGGAATGCCACCAACAGCGTAGCAAACCTTTCTGCAGAGCGGCAGTCCTGGCTTCTCCTGCAGCTGAGACACCAGGGAACAAACCCACCTGAGCCAGTATCTGAAGGGGCTACAAGGGTACTGGGAGAGGACTTTTTACAAGAGCCTGTAGTGATAGGACAAGGGGTAAAAATTGAAAGGTACAAATTGAAATCAGGGAGGTTTAGATTAGATATCAGGAAGAAATTCTTCACAGAGAGGGTGGGGAGGCACTGGAACAGGTTGCCCAGAGAAGCTGTGGATGCCCCATCCCTGGATGTCTTCAAGGCCAGGCTGGATGAGGCTTTGAGCAACCTGGTCTAGTGGAAGGTGTCCCTGGGCTTCTCATGTCACCAGGGCCACATCCCTGGTGTTGCACCCGGATTCTCCTCGGGGGCATGTTTGCACGGGATCACGGGTTGCTAACGTAATGATACACCTATCTGACACCAGACAGAGCGCTGTCTGCAGGGCTGCTCCAGCGCTGTCCTTTCCTATCCCATTGAGCCACAGGCCAGTGGTTCAAGTTCTTTAATACGGAAAGACACGAAACACATCACGCTTAAAGCGACTGTCACGGAGGCAGTCCGAGGGGAGACTGCAAAGGCCAGAGCCCAGGGGGTTCCTATAGATCCACAGGGAAAGCACAAGGAACGTTTCAGCTCGCAGGAAAAGGGCTGATGGCAAAGCCTCTATTTTATTTGGATGTGGTCAGCTTTAGTAAATACCGTACCAAGCCTCAAGGATCTGGCAAGTTCCCAGAGGCAACCTACAGCACTGACATCTTCCCAGACCCTAAATGAACTGGCTGTCTAGCGTGACACACCTCTGCCTCACACGAGATGCAGAACACAGGGTGAGAGCCCAGAGAAAGCAGACAGCCCACCCGGGCTCGCCTTTCCACTTGGCCGAAGCGGCTCGTGGCTACGAGCACGCCCTGGCTAGCGATCCCGTTGGACAGGGTGGGCCGTGGTGGGCTCGCAGTGCGGGCGCCTTGGAGACCAGGGGCTGACCTCAGCACAGGCTGCCTTGGATGAAGGTCGGGGCTAACGCGCTTGCCAGCATCTCGGGTTCCTGGTCTGCACCCCGTTTCGGATTTCCCCATCAGGGAGCGCATCGCAGAGTGCGGCGGGTGCGTTGCTGTCCCGCACCCAAAGTGTACACAGCCCTTTCTGGAAAGATCTTTAGGCTGTCCTGCTTGTGCAAGGCAGACGGCCATCCCCTGGTCCAGATGTGGCTATAAAAGGCTGCGAGCTCCTCCAGCAAGAGCTCTGCAGAGAGTGAGGAGGGATGGACACTTGGCACGGGACAGCTCTGCAAGAGGCTGGGCTGAGGGACAGACCACAGGGTCACATCGATAGCTGGAAAATGGGGAAATCATGTCTGGGATTGCTTCAATTTCCCACTTGCCCTTATCGCTTGTGGGGTTCAGGGGCAAACCCTGCCTGTTTAGGCTGGAGACAGCTGCTTGTGCCGCTAACACCAGTCGAGCTGACAGCCACCCTGGAGGGATGGCAGACCTTCATTGTAACGGTGCTGGGGAGCAGCTTCGGAAATCACAGGCACAATCCCAAAAAGCAACGTTCCAGAAGGCACCGAGCATGTTCCCCTCACGCAACGATTAGCAATAACTCCTCCACAGCCCACGCCATGGAAAAAGCACCGCCGCTGCCGTGCCCACCAGGCTGGAGGGCCCAGCGTCCTCCCACACGCCCAGGGAGCAGAGCGCCTGCTTTCCCCACGCCAGGTAACCACAGGCATCGCTCAGCTCCTGGTCCTGGCTGACTTTCTGCCTGTCACAGCACACAGCGAGAAGCAGGTTCCTTGTATTCCCAATTGCAGGCCAACCCCACCCCGCAGGGATGGCAGGAGCATTAGGCTTGAGCTACCACCGAGGAGCACTTAACTCATACCACATCGTGTTTCCACAGCGGTTCTGTTTTTAAAATTACAAAGGCATATTTGTCTCGGCCATAGGGTTTTGTGGCGGCTTTTGTTCTCTTTATGCTCTCGGCAGGTAGGACAGCGCTCTGCACGTCTCTGCCCGACAACAACGAGACGCAGAGCTTTGCTTTAACAACGTGTTCTCGAGCCTGAGTCACAAACACATCGCAACACCCCCACAGCCCGCGGCTGCTCCAGCCGGGGCGGGGCTGCTCGAGCCGGGGCGGCTCCGCGTGGGTGTGCGCGCTCGCAAGAGGTAGCGCGCACGTGGGAAACCGATCCCTGCGTGTGAGAAAGAAGCACCCTGGGACACCGGTCTTACCTCTCTGCAGACCGCTCTTGGCGGGGGGAGAGCTCCTTCTTGGGTTAAGCGGTGCAGCTCAGCATCTCCGTGAGCACCTGGGAGCATGACTGCGCACACGACCGGGTCTTTCAGCGGCACGTGGCGGGGAAGCAGGAGCTTCCTCACCCGGAGTGAGGAAGAAGTTGTTTCATAGGTCAGAGGGCAACGCAGCCGCAGATCGGAGTTAGATGGAGATTTGACGTGAAGATACAACATCTGTGGGGCCCCAGGGGGAGCTGATGGAGGGGAAATGACCATCCCCGAGGGAGGAGCGTGGCCAGACCCTGCCCATGGAGGCAGGAAACCTGGCAAGGCTCAGAGCAGCACGCACTAGGGCAGGAGCTCCCAGGCTCTCAGCAGTGAAGCGGAGCCCAGCACTTGCTCCCCATCCCAGGGCTGCAGCCACACTTATTTTAGGGATGCAGAGAAGTCCTTTGAGCACCAGAGCACCGCAGGAACACGCTCAAGCCACCCAGGACTTCTGCAACCACCAGCTGCCGGCGTGCGAAACCCAGAGCGGGCAACCGAAGTGGCTGGAGCAGCCAGGGAGAGGGCAGCAGGAACAGGCAGGTTCTTGACCTGGGTCACTCCCCAGCAAAGCCCCTCTCTCCCAGGGCAGTCCAGGAGCCCAGCTCTGGCTCCTTATTCGGGGCTGTGGAAACCCCCTGCCCCTAGGCTTTGCCCTCTCCTTGATAGGTGCAAGGTGTTGGCATGGGCCAGGACAGTGTCACTTAGAGCCGGAGGCGTGGGATGCATTTTCCTTTCTCTATTCAATGAGATCTGCAATTATCGACCTCTTTCAGCATCTGAGCTCCCAAGAGATCTCCCACAGCAATGCAGATTTAGCCTGGTGACAGGAAAAGTGCTTTTCTTAGTCCCTTTCAGAGACCCTCCGCAGCCCCGTAGAGCCCAGCAGTCTTGGTATCGCAAACCAGAAGTGACTCCTACGTGAACAGCGGTAGGAGCCCGGTTACTCAGCGCTGGCTGTGTGGGAGCAGCCGAGTTCCCAAGGCAGCGGTGCTCACAGCACGCAGCCTGCTGCTACGAGCACTTGGCAAAGCAAAGGCAGAGGGAGAAATGGGCTTCAGGGGACAGAAGGCACACAGCAAAGGCCAGCAGGAAAGGCATTACATTGCCACTCTGCCTGCTAATCATGTTTGGCACATCTAGACTCATCAGGCAGCTCTTTAAAACCAGGCTTCTCCACCTAGATCAAGCTCAAACCTCCAAAGCTGAATTTCGAGGCAGCAGCTAGAAGAACACAGGCAAAACCCTCTCCCTGCTCTCCTCCCAGGCTACCAAGAGCCACTGGGAGCCTTAAACCTGTGTTAGTGCCTCTGCACCATTGCCGAGGGGTTCGCAGGCACCCATTCTGCAAGGATCATCTTGAAGAAATGCATCCTCCTCGCCTCAGCCTTGCCTTGTCCAGTGGGAGTTAATCTGAAACCCCTGAATTTCGCAGGCTGAGTCAGAACTTGGTTAATAAGCCACAGTACAACTGAGTCAGCGGCATCTCTCTTCACTTCTGTTTTACTGACATCCCAAATAACAAATATCACTCACGCTGGACTGCAGCCAGCGCAGTGAGAGCCAAATCCCTGTCTCCCACCAGCATATCTGAGGATACATCTCTATAAGAAAGCAAAATACATCTCTTCCCACCCAAGAGGAAAGGGGAAAACTCAAAAGGAAATGCAAAACCTTGATTTTTCTTTTCTCTTTCCTAGGCCATTTTGTACCCACTCATCACACACAATTCCATTTGGATAGACACAAGGTACCTTTGGAAATTGTACTCGGCACTCAAACCTCTGGCTTTCAGTGCTCATTTACTCTGCAGGTGCAAATAGCTGCGCTTTCTGCTCACGTACCAGAAAGCCAACACACGACCAACTGTTACCTCCCGGAGGTGCTGTGTAGCTCTCGCTCCCTGGCTGGCTCAGCTCACGATTATCTTCATCACGGGAAAGCTTTATTTCTGCTCAGAGCCTCCCCGCAGCCTTTGCTCGCCTTGCTCGGTGCCTCGCAGAAGGCAGCATCACCCGTCGGGTCTAGGCAGGATGTCACGACTGCTGGCGCAGCACGGGGGGCTCTCAGCCCGCCTCTGCTCAGAGCAGGGTTCAGCAAATGCAATGAAAAGCACCGATCTCGCTGCTAGTCACTGCTCTGCGCCAGGCTACTTGCTGCAACGAGCTTTCTAATACCGCCCCGTGCCGAGGCCCGAAGTCCAAGCAGCTCGCTGTACACCCCCAGGGTCCGGGGCAGAAGGACGATGCCTCTGCCCTCGCTACGCTGATCTTTTGCTGTCAGCCGCTCAGAAAGCAGCTTTGAAAGAACAGGGAAATAGCTCAGCAGTGCCGCAGCTACACCCGATCTTCCGTTGCTCCGATACTCAGGGAAGAGGCTCGGAGAAGCCAAAGCTCCGCGGTTTTAGAACAAGGTCATGTTGGAGTTTACGTGCTGCGAAGGAAAGGTCCCTTCCCCAGAAGCCCCTTCTCCACTGCGAAAGCATGAGATCTTGTCTCTCAAGGCAGCCCAGGGCCCAGGAATGCGTGATACAAACAGCTCCGACCCAAGCCGAGCTGGCTGAACAGATTTTCTCAGGGTACTATGACCTCGAGGCGGGCTGCTCAGCCCCACTGAGTGAAAAAAAAAAGGTCTAAAGCCAGCAAATGGGAATTTTTTGGCACAGAAGCGAGTGGCAGCATTTGGAGACATTCCACTAGCAAGGTTTCTGAAGGTCTACCCCTCCTTGACTCCCGTTTCTTGGTGGAAGGGGAACCGTGACTTCCACCAAGAAGGATGAGAATGGAGGGGAAGGGCTGTCACCACCGTAGGTCCCGCAACACCAATAAAGAGTTAACAAAGAGTCACAAAAGGTACCTGAGTAAATAAGAACATCTGGAATGTATTCAGGAACTCCCAGCGCTGGGACAGACAGGCTCAGTGCAGACAAGATAGAACAGCAAATAAGATAAGCCTTTAGGAATGCAGTAAATAAGTCAGAAAATGATAAATTAGTAAATCAAGAGGTGCTTGACACAGGAGCTGGTCAACTGCCAGACGTGGGGGCCTGTTGCATAATTACTATTGTACTACTCTCTGCAGAAGCGTGTAATTGGGAAACGTGGGTCTCGTGTGGAAAAAGCTCTGCTAACAGGTATCTAGAAAGGATTTGGCTCCCTGTTTCCATGGAGCACTGCGCGATCCCTGCCGACAGCCCGATCCCCTGGCCAGCTGCCGCAACGAGCTGCGGTTCCTCGGTTTGGACAGCGCGTTCACTGACTGGTTCCATCAGCGTAGGAGCCCAGTGAGCGCTCTGGCAGCAGCCAACATCTGGATGTCCCCGAGCAGCCTGCAGTGACGCTCCCCGAGCTCCCAGAGCCCCTCACCACCGCCAGGCCTGCTGTGTACATGCCCGTGAATTATTTACCAGCGCAAGGCAGAGGCTTGCAGCTGAACTCTCTACAGACATCAACCACCATTAGGCTTTTGGCCTTCCTAAAGCAAAACTGCCCGAAACACACCGTGAAAGCTGGCAGCACTATCTCACCTCGCTGACAGGGACAGGTGAGGAGACCCAGCTCTGTGCGATGCAGCAGTGAGCGTGTGTGAGTGGCGAGTGCCCCTCATGCCAGGCACAGCACTGATGTGAACCTTCAGTGCCACCGTGCCGAAGGGCAGGTACAAAGTGCACAGCTCGGAGAAGTCTGGTCTGAGAGGCTGAAAAGCTTTTTCATCCGGGATAGAATCCCAGGATGGTTTGGGTGGAAGGGACCACAAAGCCCACTCAGTCCC